GGTGCATATGAGCTGTAGTTGGCGCTAAATGACTACCTCTTCCAAATGGGAGTTCGCTACTACTTGCATTCCAACCGAATGAGTATATCAAGTCAAAAAAACGCCAACATCCGAAATTGGAAATTAGCCGCTTAGAAGCATATAGTGGGCAGCGGTAAAGTGGTATTACAGTTAACGAGGTTAATCCGTTCCGGCAGGAAGCTCGTCATTTGAAACACTCGTCTTGCGAAAAGTGGCCAATCAAACTGCCTCAGTTTATTTATTGACGGCAGGCTATCGGGAGCACGACCTGGGAGCAAGAATCAACGGCATACACAGACACACAAAAGCATTAACAATTCGTCAATGGAGCGGAAGCTCGTAAAGTAAAAGGAATGTGTTATTAGTGGCTCTCTTGTTAACTAAAATGCGCGTAGACGGGGCTGCTCGTCTCCAGAGACTCCATTGTATTTCAATTACTTCAATTTGACGCTGCAGCATGAAGAGGTTTGCCTAGATTGAATGTCCAAGGGAAGCATGATACATCAGACACGCTAATGAGTAGAATTAATGTCAGTAAACATCATCTGTTTTGAATATATCCTCACGTAAGAATGATTTGGTTCAATAAATCGTTAAAATCTCCTATTCCCTCTAACCACCAAAGCTTCAGAAACGACGGCTTATGTCTCAAAGGAAAACATTTGAGACAGTACAGTCGCTGCGGACATGTATCAATCAGGCAGTGGCTCAAATTCTGCACCAATCTGGGGATTTGGAAAGAACAGCCGACTCATTTGCGTGACTCGCAGAGTCAGGTCCTTTTCCAACAGTTCAATGTTTTGTCTTTTCCAGCATTGCCACTGATTGACTGGTTACTGCTTCGCCTTCGCAATAAACAACAATGCGTTTCGAAGCACCTGCTGATATTAGACTTACTGTCATCAATGCGATCTTGAAAGTTCCTGAAGATGCTCCCTCTTATATAATTGTTGATTTCGAGCCACCTAAGGCTAGTAATGATCACCTAATTTCTTCTAGTGTTTTGACATGATTTCGAAATAAAAGTGGAATTTTCAGGAGACAATATAAAGAAATATTTGCGGGAAAATCTGGGTCTAGATACGTCCCGCAATGGAGATGGTTGTGCGCTAAATTTCAAGCACATTATAATTATAGGTTAGAGTATTATTATGGGTATGTTTAGGGTCGGGATTAGTGTAGAGGTTAGGATTAGAATCAGGGTTACGGTTGTGGTCGGGGTTAAGTTAATGGTTATTGTTATGGTTAATGTTAAGGCAATGGGTATTGCTAGGTTTAGGAGAAGCACCTGGAAAATAGGCATTACTGTGGCTGCTGTCCCAATGTCCTCGCGACGCCCGCCAGACTTGACCTAATGGCTGCTCTAGTGTCTCCTCTTTCACCTCTGTCCGAACGGCTGCCACATGCTTGTTAACTAACATACGCTCCAACAAAGCACGGCCGCCCCAGACTTGACCTCATCATAGTCAGGGTCACATGTACAAGCAGCGCGCGCATAGCGCGCATCGGCCAGCCTGCCTTTTTATCCATAGTTAATGTTCCCCTGACTGGCCCTTTGACCTGCCCAATCAGACACCCCACACGCACCCCGGCGTCCTGACAAGAACAATGGAAACGCTTACACACACTGCTTCTGACAAGCTCCCAGACGGACGCTTTTATCTCTCGCAAGCAAACAGTCTATTCACGGCAACTTGCTTGTGTACGACTAAATTAGTCCTAAGATTTGACTGCCTTCACCTATCAGACGGAATACTTATAGTATAGTGGTTATAGTAGATCACACAGACTAGACCGTTACATCACCACTTTTCGCCTTTTAACCGTCATCGGCCATTGGTCCACTATCCGAGGCTCGAACCCGCGACCTGTTGGACAGAAGGCCAGTGAACCACGGACTCCTTGTCTTGGGGCTTTACATTAGGACTATTGGCACTCGTCGATGTGCATCCACCGACCACTAACGGAACCCACTCGTCGCGTTGTGCATTGGGACTCATTCTCGAGTCCCGTCGGCAGCCTCACAGAGGCTAGTAGCTTAGACAGGTTGCATTACTGATGGGGTTCGAGGATGATCCCCGAGGCAGAGCACGACGAGTGAACTCCGTTACTGATTGCTGAACGTTAATCGACGAGTGCCAATATTCCTGATGTAAACCGCCAAGACACGGAGCCCATTGACTTAGTGGATTAGACCGTTGGGCTCTTAACCAACACGCATTTTTTGACAGCAACATTGTTTGCCTAAACTACTGACTACCATGTGGCTGCCGGTGGGATCAAAATGAGTCCCAGGACACAGCGGGACGAGTGAGTCCCGATAGCGATCGGTGAACGTTCATCAACAAAATCTATGCTCCCTGTTATAGTTAAGAGGGCTTGACCTAACTTAACTTCACCACATAATTGTTACATAAATTAATTTGAAAAAAAAATCATGTACAATGGCGCGGATTTCATTATATTTGGCGAAAGCCCATAAAAAACGACGATTAAAGTGCTAGGAAAATGCTTACAGCATCCAGTCGACAGCCACGATCAGTGTGATATCGTTTACGGGAAGTCCCACGGAGGTTAAAACCAACACCATGGTAACCAATCCTACACTGGGTACAGCAGCGGCTCCAATGGCAGCAATTGTGGCCGTTATACTGGAATGGAAGGAAACATTTGGTTGTCGGGTTAGTTGGAGTTCGTCTAGGGGGGAGGTGGGAGCTTACAGATGAGGAAAGCAGAGAAGGCTAATTTGGAGATGTATCCTGATGTAAGGAGACGCTGAATAACAGCCTTCACTAGAAAAAAAGATGGCAGGTTTTTTTGTCAACAGGCAGGGATATTATTTATTTAAACACCAAGACAGGGCCTTTCGGCACCTCCCGAAATCTCCTTTCTCAGACTAATTGCACTTAAATCCGCAAAATATTTTAACACAGTTCTTTGATTAATATTATTCAGTTCTCACTGCAAAGCCATTAAGCAGATAGCAGCATCTGAGCTGGCAATCAGCACTTGGTGCATGTTAGCCAACCTGCGCTTATGGCAGTTCTCTAATGCCCTAAAATGTAATGCTTTCAGGTCAGGGAAAGGGGGGGGGGGTAATCCGGCCTAAAAATAAATCGCACAAACGAGGGCCCAAGGTGTGTCCATTAGGTGGCCCATCTGCAGAATATATAGACAGTTCAATGCATTACGCGCCTTTGTGAGGCCCACGATCGCGCCGTTAAAAGCCTAGTTTAGGCGTCAGGTTGCCAAACCGATCCAAAGAACCTCATTTTAACCACCTGGTGGCTTCTAAAAGTCGCAGTACACGGCTCTAGATGTAGTGACTGACAGGGCTTTTCCTAGCGTTTATGTGTGGTGGAACTTTAAGTGTCCAAAAATGACCCATCTTAAAAGTGCAGGTTCGAATTCTTGGAAGTCAGGGCTGGGATTGCTTTCATAGCGGTGGTTTGAAGAGAGATAGTGTAAACGAAGGATGTTGTTGCCAACAGTTGCATATACACTTAATGAGGGTGAAGAGCAGCCGGCAGCTGGGGCCTATAAAGTTAAGCTGTCAGTTTTAAACGTAGTTAAACAGATCTGTCCGACTTTGAACCACTTTTTTGATAAACAGGAATAAACAGTCGCGTATCTGCGTGGACATGATACTGCTAGTAGTTCTTGATGCTCTTAACGGCGGACTACAACGTTTTTCTCAAAAAAATCGTGTTGTAGGACAATGACAGCACTAAAAAATGACCCTTCGCTTTCTGAAAATGGTTTAACATTCCAATTAGGACGCTCACCTGACGGTGATAATTTGACCGATCGAGAGTGTAATGCCATTTATTTGGGCTATGAAAATACAGGCCACGGCTTCGTAAAGCGCTGTTCCATCCATGTTCACTGTCGCACCCACAGGCAAGACGAAACGTGTCACACGGGGATCAATACCTAGTGTCTCCTCCAAACACCTGCAGATCAAAAAGAGAGAAAGGGGGAGAAAGAATATGAGGACGCAATTTCATTGTTTGATTGAAAGCCAATTGGCAGACAGTTCAGAGTTCAAATATCAGCCTACTTTGACACAATGAAATGCACTCTTATTAGGTCTTTGTTAAACCTCTGCTCCTTGTTTTGAGGCTCTATTTGTGGGACAGAGTATCGAACATTTTGACAAATAATGCACTCAACAGTCGGTTGCACCGGGAAGAGGAGCTGAGGGAACGCTCAAAATGTACTGCTTTTTGACTTGACTACTAAGTTACTTAGATTAGGTTGATGAAGACTTGCGCAAGCTACGACCGGACATACAAAACGGTCAGAAACTTTTGCGATCGTTTATGTATGACACGTGCTAAATTGAGAGGCCTGAATGCCACTCAAGCAACCACCCGAAATAGGAGACGCACGTCGCCTGCGATCCGACGACATAGCGTCAACGAGGAGGAGGCTTAGATGTCTTCCTGGCCATCAGATTATGAGTACAAAGATCTACGGTATATTTCATTCATTTGCATTTCGGTATAGGCAATTGTCAACTTACAAACAAGTTACCTTCTCACCGGCTGTTCGTAAGTTACCATTCAATCTCATTTTATGTGACCCCATGATGCATTCAAATTGATATCCATAGGTAGGTCTGATAATTACTGAATAGACGTGTACTCTTATCCTAGAACTCACCAGAAATGAACGACATAAACTGGAAAATTGGCAACAAATCTGGCTAAGGGCTGGGGATTCCCGACGGAATCCGAAACGTCAGGACAAC